CTCTCTAAACCCAAGGGGAGTGAGGGGCTACCAAAACGCTGCCATAATTCCTTCCTTACCCTAAGACGTGCCTCTTGCAGCAGGCATGTGAAAATATAACTGAAGCCCATCAACAACACTGGTAAAGGGGCAAACATCTCTAACCAACTCTTCAAGTTCCCCAAAGCTCTTCTGTGCCATCAACAACACAAAATGGCAACCGAGCACTGGTAAAAGGGCATACATCTCTAACCAGCTCTTCAAGTTCCCCAAAGCTCTTCTGTCAGGTTATTTCCCCTTCTCCCTCTCCAAACTACAGCAAAGTAGAAAGCTATAAATAACAGTCTGCAGCACCACTACTTTTCAGTATTCCAGGCGCACGCCACAGTCAAGGTATCCATTAGGTTGTCGAGACGGATCAGAAAGGCTGGAGGAATCTTTGTGTGTTTGGAAGGAGAGCAAGGAGGAGCAGTGCAGGACAGAGCGCTTTCCTGCACACGTGGCTCTCCCTTCAGCTCTGCTCACTCCCTAGGGTGAATTCAGCTCACCTCAAAGCAGGAAAGTAGCCGTTCTTGGGCATATGTAGGACTCTTCAGGGATACTGGTTGGATAGTACGAAAAGAAGAAGTTAAAAAAGAAACTAATCTAACACGACTGATCCAAAATTCACAACGTTTTGTTAGTAAACAGGAGCGGACAGGAGGAGTCTCTTTTGCAACTGGAGAATGAGCACAAGCAAAGCAATGCTAATAACCAGTGCGTTCTGCTCTGCGCCATAAACACCATGCGAGGTTCTGCAGCTCCGATTCTTTAACAGATTCTTATTCTTTATTTTTTCCCTCTGTTTCTCATAGCAAGTGTCAAAGACAAGCTGGATGCAAAAGAGAAGAAAGATACAACATGATGCCTCTTCTTCAAAGCGGTGCGCTAAATACGGTCAATAAGGCCATAAAGGGCAAGAGTGGAGCCCAAGGAAGGTTTAAAGCATATCTAAAGATATAAGGATATATAAAGGTGAGTCCTGGATGAGCACAGCTCAGAAGCAATCGGCCAGCAAGGGCAGCCCAGTGAAAGAGTGGCAAGCAACTGAGCAGGGTAAGTTTCCAGTTACTACTGCAGACGCCCTTCTCTGCGGACCCCACACATAGCCCAGACATTGGGTTAAGAGGAGGAAGGATCCCTTAAATATTTACTCCAGTAAAAGACAGGAGAGAGGAATTTCTAGCCGAGTCCTTTTTTAATTGGCCCCTTCAGCTCTTCCTACATTTCAACTATGTAAGAAACCACAGAAAAGGAGCAGCTATCACAAAATGTCAGACACTGTGCATTAAGAAACACGACAATTATTGGTATTCCGTGGACTGCCTACTTAACATTTTTAGTGATGTTTAATTTATATGCTAATAAGACAAACAAAGATATTTTTATTTAGGTTAAAAAAAAAAAAGTTGCCTTTCATGAGTTCATTAAAGTTACATCTTCTGACTTCCTTTCTGTGTGGAGGATTCCTTTTTTTTTCCTAAATAAGCAAAACGTTTTGATAGCTTATAACTCACTAGCTAAAATCACTGAGTAGAGGGAAAAGAGACACAACCGTATTTCAGGTAAGCTGATCCAAAAAAGTCCACAAAAATAGAGAAATAACAACATTCAACTGGAAGGAAAAAAAAAAGTGATGGTGAAGTATCATATCCAAGTGCCATACTTTCAAAAGCCAATTGTTTTCTAAAAGACTAGTGCAATGTATTTATTTA